ATTCAGAATTATTTCCAAATTATCTAGAATTTCTTTCTCAAAAATAACATACTTACATTACCATTCACTACCAAGCACTACAAAAACCCCTTATGAGGAAATATAAGGGTGATGCTGTAATAAGTTATGGGGCACAAAATGTAGAAGTTACAGAGCACTCTAGAGTAAGTTTTTTATAAAATAAATCACTTAGAATAGGGAGAATCATTTTATACGGGATAACAGAGAGGGAAAGAAGACTAGCTTCCATGGCATTCATTTGAATGTTGTGAAACCCATGCAAACACCACTAAAATGTCAATACATGCAGAGTTATTGTATCATGCTAGTCAGGACACTGCTTTTTTTTTTTTTTCTTTTTTTTTTTTTTCCCCAAGTGCGAGAAACCATAGATACTGTGACACAGAAATTCAATGAGGATCACTGTACAGGAGTTTACATATGACTGACCATAACACTGTTCAAACAAAAAGATACTAAGAGAAAAACTAACTACATATACTTACCTACAGCTGATCACTTACTGCTCATCTTGTAAGCACCACTAATGGCCTTTCCTAGATCCTTATCTAATCCTGGCAGAGTTCCTTTAGCTATGCATACATTTAATGTACAAAAATTTATACAAAATTACTTTATATAGACAAAGGATGTATTTCTCAGAAATTTGATCTCTGACTGGCAACACCTCCATGAAGAATACTACAGCTCTCATAAAATATTTTCTATAATTCAGTGTATATTTTCATAATAATCTGGAATATGCAACAGATAGCATGATATCTAAGTCCAGTGTACACCGTCAACTGCATATGGGTAAGTATAAAACCTCTTTCAAAGTTAAAAGGAAACAGGCAGGTGAAGAACTGGCCAAAAATCTTTGCAGGTAGCTTAAGGTATCTTTCTTATGTAATGATTTCTATAAGATAACAAATTAATTTATCCTTTCAGTAACAGTGCATTTTACTGACTAGAAACCTAGATGGGATCCTTGATCACACTACTTTTAGCACAGTAATAACAATGCTGAACTTCAGAGACACTGAAATTACACATACCTGTTTCCTGTGTACCTTCTAAGCCATATTTACTGGACTAATGAAGCTAACTTTGTATTTCTGTCAGCACATCATGCTCGAAAGTGAGTTGAAGAAACATTATTTATTCTCACCTTTCTCATCCTGAAACAAACCACCAGCATGAAACAAACCACCAACATATTTTTGTCCCTTCAGAACCATCCTTGAAGCAGCCTTCTCCCTGGTTCTACATACTTTTTATATAAAAGCTCTCTGAACATCTGTCCACTTTCTTTATGACTCATAAAGGAAAAACTCATACTTCTCATTGTTACTTTCTCCCTGAACAGCTGCAAGCTCTACTTTCCCTCTTGACTACTACAATCTTCTCTGGTATTTGGAAGGTGGGGACCAATCCCATTCATGTGCCTTCTCAATGTTGAGTATGTTAGTCGTTTTCCGAGTGTTACTTCTGAGTTGCTATTTACCTCCTAAACAATTAATGAGCTTTCCCTTTTTCACTCTTCCTATTTCCCTCTTCCCCTATCTTTCCCTTGCTCCCCCCACCCCCCAACAACTATATTAATATGAATTAAAAATATCACATGAAAAGAGCAAAGTATGACCAATTCTTCACCATAGTCATGTGATGGAATGTTGCTTCAAAACTTTTTCAACTTCCCATTTGCGTTTTTAAGGAACGAATTATCTCCTTTTTTCTCTTAAGAGTCCAGAACCACAGGCTGTATAGCCTGATTTGCATCTCTGGGCATCATCAGGCTAGAAGTATTGATTACTAACACTTTAAAGTTATTGAAAAAGGCATACTTTTCAAACACATATATGCTTACCTTTAGGTGTGAGTAATTCCATGGAAAAGAGACCACAGACATAGTTAAGGGATGTGCAAAAGAGTTTGAAGAACTAGAATCTTTATTGTAAGGAATCAGAGACAGAAAAAAACCCACATAATTTTAAGATGCTATTAAGTTTTAACTTTTATAGCTAAGTTTTAGCTTTTTTTTTTTTTTTTTTTCCCTTGAAAAATAACGAAAACTGACTGTATACTTCCTTACATCTAGGCTTTACTGCTATTTTTTAAAATTTTCCCCTAAGGAATCTTACGCAACTGCAGACATGTAAAACAGAATTCAAATGAATGACTATGTGCTAAATGCTCACTGCAGTGAGATGTGCAATTACAGATAGCTCTGATATCCTGTAAACAAATGAGCTCAAAGCAAAAATGGTTCTGGCTCCAGCTGTACTATTTTGAAAACACATTGCTAGTATCACCTAAATAAATGCTTTGACCATTAGAGTGGAAAGGATGACACTTCAAATTGTGTTTGGATACAAAATTTAAAAAGCTTAAAAACTCTTCACCAAAATGAAGACACTTATCTGGAGCATAGGACACATTTATTTTGCATAAGTGCACCAGATGACAGGAGAAGTCTAAGCTATTTTACAACTGATTTAGTGGAAGAGAGAGCATATATGATACATTCCATCTTTCTGAAGTCACATAAAGGAAAAGACAAAAAACCACAAAACTCCCCATAAACCTCTTTATTCTTCATGAATCCATATATAGTGACTTAGAATTTGTGGACCTTAAGCTGCTTTTTCAACTATGGTCTCTTAGAATTATATGCAATCACAATGGCCCTAATATTTTATAGCTTTTTATAGCTTTTAACCATTTTATAATTCAGAGAATGTGTAAGATGAAGTGGTGTCATTTGTTAGTCTTTATGGCATTAAAGTTCGTCTTTAATTATATGACTTTATTCTGCCAGTGATACATTAAAAACCCAAGAGAAGTAATACGATGGCATTGTAAAACATTATGGACAAAGATCAAGCCTGGGAAAGACAACACACTTTCAGTGATCAGGTTTGAGAACTGAAAACCCATTTCCAAGTGAGGAAATAAAAAATAAAAGCTCAGTTACAGCAGCCTTACAGAACACAGTGCTTACTTCAAGTTTTATTCTGGCAGCTGTCAAGCAGTTAACGTTGATGAAAGTGCCTATAGAACCATAAAGCATTATTATTACATATGTCATGGCCAGAATTCTTTTTACCTGTATAACATGATATACTAGAGCAATTTGGCTATGAAATATTTCTATATCACTACAATAAATCATAGCTCACTAAAATGCAATAGTGCTCAATGAAGTGCTAGAATTACTGCCAATGCTAGCACTACTAGAAATCAAAATCTGTCAGATGTTATACGCCTAATATAACTCTCTTCTGTACCCATTTTAAATTGTAAAGAGCCCAACAGAAGCAATGGAACACCTCATTACAGATACTATTACTTAAATTGAAGACAATCAAACAGTAGCAAATTATTTTTTTAAAGGTTTGATTACTTCAGCAGACAACAAGCACCAAATAATGCATGTCTGCTAGCTCTAAAATGTGACATGTCCTGTGCACCATATTACAAACAACAGATAGTTTGAACATACTCTTTGAATGGGCCACGTAATTTTTGTCGCAATAGCCTCACATCACTTGATCTATTTAAAAAAAGAAAAAAAAGCAAGAAGTGACAAAATATGCTTATCTGTAACTTCTACTCCCATTCAAGGATAAAGGTAATATTTCAACTAAAAAGTACACAGCCAGATGACGCCTGCTCTAATATTTGACCCAAGTGGAAAGATGGAAGGAATTGGGGTTGTTTAGTCTACAGAAAAGAAAACTGAGGGGAGAAATGATAACAGTCTTCGAATCAGCTGCACCGAAGAGGTGAACAAATTGTTCATGGCTACGGAGGATGGAACAGGAAAGAATGGTCTTCTGTCATAGACCCTCTCCTGATTTTTGAACTTTTTTTAAAATATAAAGAAACTGCCCTTGTGCAAAGCCACAGTGAATACAGTGTAGTTCTCAGCAGACTCTACTTGGTTAGTCTTTGTAAAGAATTTGCAGAGACCTCCAAAATCTTCAAGATAGATATGAATAATTAAAGCAGAAACATAAAGAGGTCATAACAGATTTTTGAATATGATTCCCTAGTTTTACTGTAAAGTTTTCTTTCTTTTCACAGTTACTACAAAGCCTACTGTTTGTCTGGCTTTTGTGTACTTTCAGTTTGACAGTCATGACATCAGATTCCTACAAAAAGAACATAAACTTTTCAGCATCAGGAAGAGATTTTCCATGTAAAATTAAGTTTTCATTGAACATATTAAGTTTCTGCCTCTTTTTGAGATTTCTTCTTTAAACATTGTTTTATCTTCTTCCAAAAATTATTTAGCAGCGTCACGAATATGCATAAACTTTCCAAGATAATGTAAACCAGATACTGTCTCAACTTGCTGGTTTTAAATGTCTTCAGTGCTATTTACCACTCATTCCATTCTTCCTGCTTCATACTGCCATCTTGCACATGGATGAAACATATTTATACTTCAATAAACCCGGAAGTAATCTTTGCAAACACCAACACATTTGTTGAGAGAGAGTGAAAGGGAACTCTGGGATTACTGTGGGTAGTACTGTTCAGCATACCTACACTGAACAGGCTCTTCTGTATTAAGGAGTTTTAAATTAATACTGGACTGGCCAGACCATCTTTTCCTGTCTTCCCGGCTCCTTGCTTGTTCCTCTGCACCTCACGATTTGAACCGGTGTACTACTCTGACTGAACTGCTCTGAGAAAATACAGTCCCATCAGCCAGTATTTGTCTTCTTTCAAAACTTAGAATTAGTTATGGCTCCACCTTTTTCCACATTTGCGTCAGCATTCACCTTGTGACTTGCATGCACCTAGAGTATCAAAAATGATCTGTCCTACATGGGTCTCTTCCCACTCAGCCCAGACCTAAAAATATCATCTTCAGAGTACTGAAGAATTTTAACATGCCCTCATATATGCTTCAGGAAGAACCTTTTTCCATTGTCATCATATTCCCCTGACCATCCCACAGTCTGTAACATTCCTTGTTTAGCGTAAGCATGACAACAACCTCAATGCAGACAAATACTGAGTAAGTAGTTGTAATAAAGGTGATATGGTGATAAAGAGAGATGAAAATGCTAAGTTTTCACCATCTGAATTTTAACTATTGAGATTTATGTGATTAGGTACATATCTGGGCTGCAAAAGATTTCTGTATTTACATAAAAACCCTAACTATTTTCTAACATACATAACTGTACAATAATACAGTCAATTTACAGTTTATACCCAACTATCGCAACAAATCAGTGTACCTTTGGATTTTGTTATATTCCTGCAGTGAATCTTAACTTCAGAGTGAGTCAAACACCATTATTATGTGGTGATGCAATGCAAGGAAGGCAGCTGAATCATAATTTAAAATTCTCAATACCTTATCAATCCAGCAGAGAAAATGAACACATACTTAGTTTATTCCAAGTAAACTCTCATACTCGCTGAAAGTGCTTTGACATATCAAAGAATCTAGCAGAGACAGTGAAATTTTGGGCCTACTTTGATATTTAAAGAAGAATGTGTGAAATATAGCCACCACTAGCAACAGGATCAAAGTACTTTAACCACCTATACAACACACAAACTAGTTTTGTTTCAGCACTAAACTGAACAGGTCTAATGAACTATAGGGAAACTGGGTAAATGTCTTGAACCATTGCCTGAAGCTCCACAGCTCACAGTGCTGACTGTGACTCCCCACAGGCAGGGCTTTGGTAAAGTCTTCAGTTTTACAGAATGCCAGCACGTGGGTCACTTGTCAAAGTTAAGCCCTAGGTAAGTCTAAGTGGTTCTCTGACTGAGGAGCTACAACCCCAGGTATTTTACACCTCTTGAGGAAAGGGGATCTATTTGTGTCAGTCATCAATTAAGCAAGATGATAATTTGGTGTTTCTGCTCATGTGCTATATCAGTAACCACCACTTCCTGCTCTGTCTGAGAAATTATTTTTTACTGTAGTTGCTTGATGAGAAATCTCATTGCACTTAGATGCACTAGTGTAGGCAGCATGTGGGACAGAATGGGTAACTGCAGAAAAGTGACATCCCCTGCAAAAACCAGTCTATAACCAATCTAGTCAAAGGTGTGCATTAGGGTATGTCTATGGTGTGTTTTAGTTTGAGTCAGAAATGGATTTTAGAAGTGAATCTTTCCAACATTCACACTTACTGTACTTTGGTTCTCCATGCAGGGAGGTCTTGCCACCACAAACTAGATTCCTGCCAGATGAAACTAAACCAGAAGATGCATCCCAGGAACATGCCCAGCAGTCTTCAACTGCTACTGGGTATTAGGTCAGCTGGACAGACCACCAAAAGCACACAGTGCAGACAGCAACTTTTCAGCACCAACTATTATGTCTACTACTTGCCAGCTGAGGCACAATCTCAAACTGAGAGGCTCAGCAGCACAGATAGTGTGGATGTGGCAGTGTAGAGCTTATTCTCCACCAGAGCTCTGGGCTGGATTTGCAACCAGCACCAGTCTCTCTGCTGTAGGTGCTCTGCAGTCTACCAGAAACACAGTGCTGCTGCATTTAATCCTGAGTGTGTTTACTAAATCATAGTCAGCCTCCTGCTTGCTGTGTATCAGTATCTACTGATTATTATTTGTCCATGTGCTAGTACTTGGGAGGCCACAAATTTCACTGTGTGGTACCATTTGCACATTTTCTAGGGACTGTAGCAACACCCCCATTTGGGACAGATCCTGAATGCAGAGTTTTTGAGCAGAGAAGGTAACAGGGCAGTGTTAAATATAATTTGCTAGACTGGGATCCATCATCTGTCTTGGTAGGCAATGGCTTGGGAAACACATTTGCATTTGATGAATTCATTCGGTGCAGCTCCTCATTGTTCAAAGCCTGGGTGCTGACATGGGTGCCAAGCAGTGCACCTCCGCTGCTAAGAATGGAAACTCGAAGTATAACAAGCACCTTACAGGTTCCTGTTTCCACTCAGCACATTAAATAAGTCAAAGATGAAAGACCAACGACTCACTTCCAAATTCCCCTGAACATTCACCATTTTGGCTACTTCATCCACTTGTGGGACCTTCAAGGAGGCCTCCCGTGCACACGGACTGGCTGAAGCCAAAAGCAGGGCTATCTGGCCCCGTCTAGCTCCTGCCTGGCGAGGCTGAGCCCCCGAGGAGCACACACGGCCTCCTGCCCCCACCCCGCGCCCCCCACAAGGAACGGGCACCACGACCCCTGTGTCCGTCCCCCGCCTCCAGCATTTGTAACCACCCTCAAACCCCAGGCTGGGTTTGGGGCTCACCCTAGAAGCGCGCCGTGCCCAAGAAGTAGGAAAACCCGCTCAGAAGAAAGCCGCGGGGCCTGCAGGCGGGCGCTGTCCCCGCGCCTCGGCCATATGATG